ATCATGATTCCCCTCCCAAATACCATGCCCCCCCTCACCGTTACAATGGCAGCCGAAGCAGCAGCAAAGCAGAGGTTGACACCCACCAAGCCACACCCACATAACCAGTAGTAAAAACTTTTGAATCCCACCATTGGTGTTGACCATTAGTTGAGAAGGTTCTTGTGCATGGTCCTGATTAGCAATAAATTAGTTTAATTGGATCTTTACACATGGACCTGATCTTTTGCACCTGACAGAGGACCTTTCACCCTGTAAAAGAGTAGGCAACACAGCTGGGTTGCAACAGGCATTGTTGTGCAAAGTATATAGGCTCTGATGTTGAGGAGACACCTGCTGGAAAAATGTGGGAGGCTACAATATTGCTGTATAGCAGTGTTGCACCAATGACCTCAATACCTACCAAGTATTCTTGTGGGCCACAGAAGATGATTTGGAGAGTTACCTGGCATTATCATTGATGTAGTATGTGAACCTGGACCCTAGAAGGATGTTAGCTATTTCCAAATTATCTCTGTGGCATCGCACAGCAAGCAACAGAACTTTTGTATGTCTGTGTGACATTTTAAGGCATGTACAACAGGGTTTCAGGTGGGTGGAACTCAGGTGTGATGTTGCAAGGCTGCTTTGATCATTCTGATCCTGTCCTGCCTTCCCACAGATGTTGCTGCTGTTTGTCAAATCTTGGATGAAGCACCAGTCCTCACCAACGGCCTTTTCTCTTTCCTCACAAGTCTGTGCAGGAATGGCTGCTTCCATCCCTCAATACATCCTGCAAAACATACCCTTTATATTAACTCAACCACAAACAAACACACACCAAACACAGTCACTGATAATGATGCTGCTGCTTTGCTAAAACAACAACAACAACAACACCCTGTAAACCTTACTTCAGACAAAGCTGAACACAGGCTGATTCAGTCCAAGTTCTGTCTACTTTTAGAAAATATGCAGAGTACTTGAGAGGGCAAGCGGAATGTAATTTACGGTAACTTCTAAAACATTGCTCCATTAATGTCCTAGATGGAAGACCAATGAAATCAGTAGCACTGAAGTACTAGCACTATAATTAATTAAAGTTGATTTTCCTCAAATTTCTCTTGGGACTAGGCTTCAAATAGTGGCTTCTTCCTCTGTGTATAAAAATTGGGTTGATTTTTTATTCTTGTTCTTGTTGTTTTCTGTTCAGTTAATTCATTGGAATGTACAGAGAGGATTTTTAAAACAATCTAAAACAGCATTTCTTCTGCCCTTGCTATTATATTTCTATCTATGGATATGAGAAAACTCAGGGAAGGGTTTTTTTAATGTGTCTTTAGGGAAGATTGGATTGGGTGATTATTAAATAGCATAAAGAGATTTCCTCCTGAGTGATTTCAAATGATTATTTTGATAGGTTTTTAACATATCAAATGAGTTTGAGGCCTTAGGTACTTGCAGTATTAAACATAACTCTTTCATAAGGAAAATAAACTGAGCTACATAACTTATTTTGCCAAGTCAACAATTATTTTTATGTAGCTGCAAAGCTGAGCTTGGAGTTGTTCCTAATCATTCATATAGTATGAGGTTATTTCCATACTAAGTAGAAAATCTACTGTCAAAAATCATTCCTTTCCTTGTTGGAAAAATCAGATATGCTGAGTTTAGCAGAATTGTCCTGAAGGTGATTTTTCAAAAGGGACTTGGACTTTCTTTGTTTTTGCTTGAAGACATTTCGCTTCTCATCCAAGAAGCTTCTTCAGTTCTAAATGAATAGCAGAGAATGGAAGGATTTATATTCCTTGCAGTCATCTGGATGACTGAGAATCTCCATAGAACTAAGCAGAACTTATTTCTGAGTCAATACATATTGTAGAGGATCATCTTCCAGGATATGGTGCCCATGCCTTAAAAATATTCAACCAAATCTATTATTTCTATTTATTTATTTGATTTAATATAACTACTTACCTCTACTTTTGACCTCTGAGTAACCAACAATAATTAATAGTATAATGATCTAATCCAAAAACTCAAATAATTACCATAGCAATGTTAATGCAATGTTAATACTGTGCAGCCAAAGTACTCAAAATATTAAATTGTGCAACTATATATAGCTGGACTCACTTAACATGTGGGATGGATCTTCAGAGATGGAGAAGGATGGTAGCCAAGGGAATGATCAGACAACTTAGCTCACTGCAGGAATGTGGGAGAGACAAGCAGCTCAGAAGGTACTCTCCCTACTTTCTTGAGCTGTAAAGACAATGTGGGAGAGGGTAAAATGTGCTTAGAAGACTTAGAAGGTTTTTAAAATTGTAACTTTACAATAAATTAAAAATGGTGTATCAGGCTTTGCTTCCTCCGTAGTCTGCATTGCAAGATTGACCCGCACATGTGACATTTTGAATACACATGCCAGTTGAATGGGCAATAACCATTTGTCAACACTGCCTCTAGGAAAACATTTGGCACTAAATTTGAAGTAACAGGCTAGCTTCAGAAGCACTGAACCAATCAAGTTGTGCACAACCCAGAATTATGGTACAGAAGATGGTCATCCCTCGTACACGTTTTTTAAATAAATACCTAATAAAATACTGTTCCTTGTCTTTCGCTCAACATCTTTATCAGAATGATTACTTCATTCCACCTAACAGTAAGACCAGCTATAGTGGGTCAACAGTAGCCTCTTAGTTGTGCCAGTCCCTGAAACTGTTTAAGTTTGGAGTATGTTCATATACAATTTTCATATTGCTTGATGTCCCTATAAATACATGGTGGCTTTCAGTGAAGACTTGTGAAACTTGTCCAGTAAAAAATTGCCGAGTTACTGATTTTTAAACAAAATGTATCAAACTTTAAACTCTGTTTCTTACTTCTTACAAGTCCTCAGAATCCAGTGGAAACAGGGGTCTGATGTCTCGAGAATCATTTGTCAATACAATGTCTGCAACAATTAAGCAAGGCACTAAGGAGGAATACGGTGAGCTTTTTGATAAGATAGATTTGATCCGGGATGGCCTTATCGATTGGGATAAATTGACTTCCTTTGTGCTTCTTGAGCTATATGAAAGAGATGAACGAACCAAGATGTCGGTTGTTCCCCAATGGAAAGATCTCCGTTTTCTCCCAACCATACATAAAGATGTCATTCAGAATGTGATATGTTTTAAACACCCCAGCAAATACTTGACTGTGAGCAGAAATGGATTGCTTGGTCTCTGGGGAGAAAGTTTAAAGTTACAAAAGATGGTGCAAATCACGACAGAAGCCGTGAAACCCAAAGACCTCTGGGTGACCTCTCTGGTTGCCTTACCAAACGTTAACAAGGTAGGTTGATGAACGGATGGAAATGAAGCACAATTTTTTGAGGGGGGAGGTGAATAATATAATAATAAAAATAACTGACTGGTGATCCAAGAATGGTGGTTCTCAAGGAATATTCCTTTTTTTCCTCCTTTTTCCTGTCCCCCACTCCTTCTCTCACCCTTTAGGTAGCTGTTGCATTTACAAACAAAGAGATCCTTTTTGCAGAGTTAAGTTTCAAAAAAGGGTTCTCGTGTCAATACAGGCTTCAAGGCTTTGAGGGAACAGTGACTTGCATGCACTATTGGTATAACCCTCATGATGGAAATGAAGCTATTCTGACCCTGGGAGATGTCTGTGGACAGGCAAGTATGGCATAACATCTGGAATTATGGTGTGCAATGTAATCTTGTAATGCTACACATTCAGTGCTAACAGTTTCATTGTACAAACCAGACAAAACTCCCTTTGAATTGAATTGAATTTATTGTATTTCTATGCCGCCCTATTCCCAGAGGGACTCAGGGCAGCTCACAAATCAAGTCAGGGATACAAACAGGAAAAAAAGACACGGACAAAACAATACCACAACTTAAAAACAGTCAACAGCCACACCATTCGAGCGGGGACAAGAACTCATCAGCCCCAGGCCTGTCGGAACAGCCAGGTTTTAAGGGCTTTGCGGAAAGCCTGGAGGGTGGTGAGGGTCCGAATCTCCACAGGGAGCTCGTTCCAGAGGGCCGGAACAGCCACAGAGAAGGCCCTCCTCCGGGTGGTAGCCAATCGGCATTGGCCAGTGGATGGAATTCGAACGAGGCCTAATCTGTGGGATCTAATCGGTCTGTTGGAGGTAATTAAATTGTGGTATTGTTTTGTCCGTGTCTTTTTTTCCTGTTTGTCTTCACCCCCCCCCCCACCCC